TCAACCTGGTCTGCTGGGGGGGGGCCCCCCCAGCAGACCAAGGAGACGCGGAGCAGCTTTTCTCGCCCCAGAGGACCCAGACAGCGGGACGGCGGCGCATATGGGTGGTCCCGACGCCCGCGTCCTCCGGGGCGAGAAAAGCCCCGTTTGTAAGTACGAATCCGACGTAAGTCGGATCCGCGTAACCCGGGGACTGCCTGTAATGCATAACATATAACACGACTGCAATAAGGATGCAAATCTGTTTCTTATGGGTACTATATGCAAGTTCCTTCTAAAGGAAGAAAGATGTAGCAGATTGGTAGAAACATTGCTTACCTCATCATCATTGACTAGTTCTTTTTTCACAACCTTCATTGCATAAATGCGTTCAGTTTTCTTTAACCGAACCAGTAGTACTTTAGCATAACTACCTCTTCCTATAACTCTAAGGAGATCAAAATCCTGAAGGCCCAGACTGGAGGAAGGTTTGCCACTTTCTCTAATACTCATTGCCTGTAAATAAAAATTTTAAATGCATCTGAGCAAACTTGACATTATAATAACAGAATCATATATTGGTACAGTTTGGACCTCCCTGGTCCAGCACTCTCGGGACCAGACCAGTCCCAGAATAGGGATTTTGCCCAACCCAAAGAGGTCATTTCTGGATCCCCTGCCACCAGTCCCCCAGCCCACCCCCTGCCACGGGCCCCTCGGTCCTACAGATTGAACCTCTATAAACTGGGACTGCAGGTTTTTTAGGGTATTGAGTGTTCAAATAGCTCATTTATTGTGCTGCAGCAGTAATTAATACTTATCCCCTCTTTAAGAAAAGCTTTGTACATGAAAATGCTTACTCTTTCATCTGTCAGTTTCATATTAAAGTTTTTCCTGCACACTGAATTCTGTATCTCAACACAAATTGCATGACTCATAAATGGACTAACTTGAGTTATACACAAGTTAAACTAGTGTCCTAAATGCTAGTTACCTATAAACTAAATTTCAGTTCAGTATCATTTAAAACTGCTAAGATTTTAAAGATAGGATTGGTATTATACCTCAAGACCTCTGAATAGTTAGGTTGTACTGCTCTAACACACATTACCTCTTTTTCTTCACCTACATGGTCCAAGCTCTCATGACTAGACCGATTATATGGAATCACTAAAAGAACAAGGAAAAAATGAAGGAGTTCACTCTATTAAAGGAAAGAAACAGATATTCTCTATTCTTTTAAATGTCTATGCACAAAAATAGATGATTACAGTGTAGCAGAAAAGGTTTCAAATATCCAATGAAAAATAGAGTATATTGATTTAAGAGTTAATTTATCAGCTAAAAGCTTTGAACTCCATTTCACCCCCATGTTTAAGAATCTCCCATTCATAATTAATGCAATACTGCAAGTTAAAAATCTGGACTTCTAAAATGTATGCTATTTTGAGTCATCTGGGCTGACCATATGCTGTAATTTCTGTAGATTCAGGGTGTGTCTACACAGCAGGGCTTAACTCGAAATAAGCTACGCAAATTGAGTGGTGTCAATTGCATAGCTAATTTTGAAATAGCTTATTTTGAAATTGGGAGTGTCTACACAGCACTTATTTCAAAATAGAGCACTCTTCCTCTGACTTCCCTTACTCCTTGTACAATGAGGGTTACAGGAGTCTAAGTAAAAAGTCCTCCAGTATTTCAACATTATTTCAAAATAACTGCCTGCTGTGTAGCCGCAGACTAAGTTATTTTGAAATAACACTAGTTATTTCAAAATAATGTTCCTGGGTAGACATAGTCTCATTTCCTCTTTACTATTATCTGAGGGTAAGTGTGGTATATTTTGGCTTTACTACTAAGAATAGCGACTATATCCAAGTCTGAAAGATTATTATTCCTACATAGATACCCCACCATATTAATTTCTGCATAAGATATCACCCTGATGCTGCTAGTTGCCTTAATTCTATTTTTGTACATACAGAACCACAACTATCACACAGTTTTGAAGAACTACCTTATTACGAAGAAGTTTATATCTAAAACATATGGAAAAACTTGCTCTCCATCTTTCTTTAACTTATTATTCGAACAGCAAGATAGGAGATTAATGTGCACATGCATATAAATAAACTGGCTTATAATAGGCCTGTTTCCTTAAACAGAACAGAATAAGTGACTTTTTCCATACAGCTTTTTAGGATGGGGTCCCCATCAAGTATCAAAACTACAAGCCATGTAACCCCACACAAGTGTTCCATGAATACAACAGTACACCTGAGATTCATAGATGATATTTTTGTGACAGATGACTAACTTCCTCATCAATTTATAGTACAACCTCAACCAGCACCACCCATCCATTAAACTCTCTCTGGAACACTTCCATACTAGTATCTAAGTTCTTGGTCACCACAATCAGCTTTAATAATGGAACCATCTAGACAGGTATTCCCAAGAAACCATCAGATCACCAGATATATTTTCTAAGGATGCTAAGAGGTGGGTAATCCACTAATAGTGTAGCTAATAAAATTTGTATTGACTACATGATTAATCGATAAGGGAAGGCTGTGCAGCCTCTGCCGGAGCAGCCCCTGCCTGCGGTGGG